CCAGGGGAAAGCCTCTTCAGAAAGAACTGGACTCTTCTCTACCCAAGCCAGAATGGCCCTGCAAGGCCTAGAAAATTGACACCATGTCCTCTCCAGTGACCAATGGGAGCTGAGCTAATCCCACCCCCAGGGATAATGTGAGTGCAGAATTTGCCTCTCCTCACAGTAAACTAACATAGATTTTGCCCGCTGAAGAAATATTCATTGAATACTGGACTAGCTAAGGATGACATAGAGCTACCTCAGGTACATGCTGGGGACAAGAAGATGTCAATGTCTTGAGGATACAAGAAAAAAAGAAGTAGGTTCTGAAGCAATTTTGTCCCATGGTGAGCGGCAAAAGAGAAAAAGACCAAAGTTTTGATTTTGTTCTGTCAGTATTACCTTTGCGTATATGTTTTATGTTTGTTATTCCAAACCATTCTTCATATGTTTTCACAAAATTTGCCCTAGGATCAGCTTTCATGTTCTTTAATGTAGACATCTCCACAACTTTGTCTACTTCCTGGCTGCTCAGCTCTTTTCCAATAAATTTGCATATTTGAAGTACTGTACCTCTAGGATCCTGGAAGAAGAAGTATTTGCTTTTGGAATATTTCTACAGGAATCTTGTATACCCTTAATTTGGAGTAAGCTCCACTGAACTGAATGGAATTGATTTCTGGGTGAAAGCATTATATAAAATAGCATTAAAGGTTAAAGAAGTATCATTTTTTTATGCAGATAAAACATCAGTGGAAATGAACAGGATGGAGATCCTCGACAACAGACATCAATTTCAGATGAAACAAGTTATGTATATATGTATGTGTGTGTAAATTACTATCTGTACTTACATACATACCGTAGATATAAACACATACACGCACATATGTATCTATGTAATGGGACATGTTATATGATACTCTGCTGTTTTTTCTCTATCCTAATAGGCTCAGTGTTATCTTAATGCTTTCTTGGTAGTTTTCTAATAGACGAATACAGATTTTTATATCTTTTTTCTTCAGATCAATCATTATAGGTCTTATTAATATATTTTCAGCTCTGTATTATATTTTATAGTTTTTGTTATTCATCTAGAAATGTTACAATGAGTTGGGCACCATATAAACCAACTAATCAATCAATTAGTATACACCCATTCCCATCATGTTTTTTCCTTTTGGGAACAAGCAATGTTATGCAAAGCACACAAAAGGAATAGGCAAGCAGGAGAGAAAGAAATAGAACTATGGTTAAAGCTAAACTAAATCAATACTGTGCATTATACTTTTCCAATCTTATCAGCTTCATCTAACTATCGT